TTGATTGTGCCTGTGGTTTAACTGTTAGCCAACTTCATTGGGGTTGCCAATTGAAAACAAGAAAGCATAACGACTAGTTGAAATCGTGAGAAGCAGATTAATTATATTTTTACAAAGAATCTAGTTCATCACTGTCGTTTTTTCTTTTCCTTTTTCCTTTAACGCTTCAACTTATTGTTCAAGTTTGTCAAGGTTGTTCAAAGCATACTGTAAAGAACTCCATAGAATGGGCGTTGTCTTTCCATAACCCATTCGTAAATATCGTCTTTACTTATCTAAATTTGAAAGCCATGCTAGAAAGCTCTCTGTAAATTCAGCACGTCAAGGGGGCAATGGCCTAGGTACGCCAGGGGACGTGCGAGGGGTACGACTGGTACGTACGATGGGTACGCTTGGGGGCGTGTGTCAGGTACGATGGGTACGCTGTAGGGGTGCGTGCGGGTACGCTTGGGGGCGTGTGTTAGGTACGATGGGTATGCCATGGGTATGCCTGTAGGGGTGCGTGGGGGCGTGTGGCGGGTACGATGGGTATGCTTGTATAGGGTGCGTGCGGGTACGCTTGGAGGCGTGGTTGGTGCGATGGGTGAATGTGCAAGGTGGTACGATGGATACTACAATGGGTACAGTTGTAAGTTGTAAATGCACTTGCAGAATACGATGGGTACGGCTACTACACAAACGTTTTAGAAGGGTTAGAAGGGAGAAGTGCGTGTGCGCGGTAACTGCCGGGCGGAGTGAGGGGACGGCCGGGGGGGGGAAAGGGCAAGCGTGCCTGATGCCGGGCTGCCCAGTTGTACTGTGTGTTACTTGTAGCACTAACTCTCAACATGATAAGCACGAGCTAAACAGTTAGGTATAGTAACGTAGTATCAAATTGAATCAAGTATCAATCATTACTATTGATGACTCAATTTGACTCAATTCAACCCTCATTATCTCGAAAGCCAAGTCCGGGGACCCTAGACATGTTGCTTGAACTTTTTGCGATTCCAGCTTGGTAAGTTGACGTGATCCGAGCCGACAGCCAGTGCTCCGTGCTCTTTGGCGGCATGTGCCAATAGATGTCGACGACCGCACTTGGGTTAGATTTGCATTTCTTCAACTTCAGTTATCGCTTTCGATACTATAGTTACTATACCTACAATGGACCTACAATACAATAGGGTCATGTCAAAAAGTCAAAGAGTCAACCAGTTGCTCTTGACGTTGCCATGGCTTCTGCACTGGCCGGTGTGCTGGTTTCTCTTGATGATGATAATGACGAGAACGACGAATCCCAGGGATGCAGGATGCAAGCACCCACGATGAAACATTGGCAGATGAAATACGTGCGACAATGCACCTGAGCTAAATAATAGTAACTCGCGAAGGAGTTGTTGATGTTTCTTTTTGTGTAGTAGAGTAGAAACCCTTGTAGTTGTAGTTGGCAATTCGCATGTGATGATGCTGCGGCTGAGGCAAGAAAACGCTGAATCTTAAGATTCAGCACCAGCGGCAGCTGGCCAGAAAGGGTGGGTTCAGTGAGCTGATCTTGGACAGCCAAACTGTCAGGAAAGGTGCAACGTCTGACAAGAAGATTAGGGGGTCGGGCAAGTACAGAACATGGACACCTGAAGCAATGCTCCGAGTTTCGACGCTTGGCTCTGTCAGTAATGTGTGTCACAAAAAATTTCATCTGATTGTATTCTACTCTAGAGTCTAGAGTCTAGACTCTCCACTTCTTGGACTCGACTCTAGATTATGTATCTGCATCGAGGTTGGGCAATGCCGTCGACCTTGTCGCAAAAAAGGACGGCGCAGGGCAAAAACTGAAGAACAAGATGCAAAACAAGATCCCTGCAATGTTTAGCGCCAATTCGCTGGCTTACTGGCTGGGATCTAGCACAACGCACATTGCCGATGTCCCATGGCGTGCAAGCGTCTATGAGTCTAAAGTCTAGAGTCTAGAGCCTACATCTTTTATGTAATGATCTTTACAATTTCAGAGGCTATAATAAACTCAGAGATTCTGTGGCCTGTAGTCTGCTGACATACAGCTTGTAGTAATGGTAGCGGTGCAGTGGCGGTGTCAGCGGCGGTAGGAAGTAGCCGTAGCAGATGCAGCAGCAAGACAGGCATTAAGTAAATGCATGAGGTAGGTGAGTTGGATATGAGATGAGTCCGGATGAGATTGAGGCATCCCAAACCCCCGGTAGCAAAGCATCAGCGGCAGCCAATCCAAGGTTTCTTTAGCACTGAAGCAAACGGATAGTGTGCTAAGCAGCAGCAAGGGAACTGTTCAATTCCTGGCTAAAGTAGTTGCTACTGCTACTGTCGCTACTACTTCTGCTACTGCTATGCAGATGACGACTCGCCTACAAGACTACTGCCACCATGGACCACCACCGTTACCATTCTGCTGCCGCTGCCGCTTCCGCTGCTGCTACCACAGCCGCGGCCGCCGCCACCACCACCACCGCCACCACACCACAACCACAACACCACCACCACAACTATGACTATACTCCTGTGGCTGAAACAACTGCTGCTGCTGCTGCTGCTGCTGCTGCTAATGCTGCTAATGCTGCTGCTGCTGCTGCTGCTGCTGCCATTGCTACTGCGGCTACTGCCACAACTTGCACGACGACGACGACGACAACGATGACTGCATCATTCGTTCGCAATTTGTTACATGGCATGGCGACATCACATCACATCAGATCACATCGCATCACATCACACGGTACATCATATCATGCCGCTACATTGCATCACACATCCCACCATAGAATCATCGCATCACGCTACATTACATCACATACATGCACATCAGTATGAGGTCCGTTCTGCGGTGACTATGCTGTTCGTCAAGCACATGAAAGCCTGTGCAGAGCAAGTACAAAACGACGCCGGTCCTGTTCAGTGGGTCAGAAGCATCGCAGGGATTTAGCTTTAGGCTCCCAGTTATCAACCCGGTCGCAGGGATTAGCTTTAGGCTCCCAGTTATCAACCCGGTCAAATCGGGTTTGGGTATTTGTTTTAGCGTCCCCGACTCACTCCCATACAAACAAATGTCGCATAGAGAAGTTGTAAGTTATAAATTGTAAATGTAGAGGCACTGTTGATTCGACTCTAGCGGAACCAAGATTCCGGCATGATTCACGATCTCAGGATCACCCGCACTTGGTGTCGCTGAGCCTGGAGTTTGACGAATCTTCAAGCAGGACTCGTTTGCGGAAGAATGTGCTGAGCGTTGAAGCGGTCTGCCCGATTCTGGCTACTCTGAATCAAGCTTAGTGGGCTAAAGTCTAACGTCTAGAGTCTTAGAGTCTAGAGTCTAGTATCTAGAATCTATATTTGCAGGTAAAATTTTACGGGTATAATCTAAGTTTACAAGTTTATAAACTCCTGAATGGCTGCCACTCAAACCCGGTGTAACAAAGGCTTGGTAGAACAGCCGGGGCTCTATTCTGAAACTAGTCGTGCGTGGTGACTTGTGCAACTGTAAGGTCCAGCGAGCTGAGCTCTTTGTCCAAGCACAGGAGGCCGACGCGGATTTCAAGCAACCCGCTTGCACTCATACGTCCCCTCATTGGCTGCTTGTTGGTGGAGGTGAAGTTGACAAGGTTCTCAGGGGAGCTTGAATTAAGGGTACTTTTTCGCAGCCGCAAGACGTGAGGCATGCTACTATGCCCATCAGCACCTGCGTGCTGGAGTCAACAACTGCGACCAACATATGGCAAGGCATCTTGGAAAAGCATCCAACTTCACTTTGGAGTTCCTCGCCTTAAGATCAGACACACCACAGGTTGCGGCAGGTTATCCGGCATAGGGGATCGATGCAAGCTCGAAGTGATGTTACATGTTTCTTACGCAAAGGCTGGGCTGATTGCACCGATATCTTCGTCCTTCGCTTTGTCAGCGACGCTGCAAGTGCCAACAAATTGCTGTTCAAGATTGCAATTCTTGGCAGACCCACGAATTCGATTTTGCTGCACAAGCTGTGTGATATGCCACGTGTCGCGCATTTCAGTCTGGGGACTCATGGGTACATATTCAATCGACAGATTCATGCCCAGGCATGCGCTTAACAACGGTGCCGAGCCCATTTGGCGTGGGCTGCGTCAATTGACGCCACTGACACTTGCATCGAAATTTGTCAGATTGAGTGCAAGAAGAGTAGCTTAGTAGCTTGCAAGCTTGCAACTTGCAACAAATGATTGCTTGCCTGAGGTTCTATACGACTGGGTTTCTTTCGAGTGGTTCCAATCTTTTGCGACTGCTCGAACATGTGCAAAGATGGATCATGGATCCACACACAGTCCGAGTGTGCTTCACAGAGTAGCTTGTTTGGTTTCAAGTTTCAATCTCGAAATTCGTGTGGAGATTGAGCTAGTGGAGATGCCCTTTTTTTTGCAGAGCCGATACAATGCCAGGCCAGATCCCGCTGTGGTCAGACGAAACCGCGATTTTGTCTCATTGATTTTGGGGAGCGTGGGCAGCCACAATGGGCAGAATGAGGAAGCGCATGCCACTAGCAAGGCTCATCGACAAGCTGCTGATGAACTGCTCAAGCTGGACAATGGTGATTGGAGCGATGTGTATCATATCACGCATCACTGCGGAGGCATCGGCTGTTGTTCCGGCGTCGTGGAAACCCGAAACAAGATCTGGCTGGCTGTGCTGGATTCTCGGGATAGAATTAGATGACACTAGTAACGGTTTAGGCTTTGGTGTTTAGGGTTTTATAGTTTTATTATTGATTATGATTATGTAGTTTTTCTGCATGCTGTGAATCCGCAGCTCTTGTGCGTTTGCCTTTTTTGTCCAGTTTCCCAGGCATTCGTGTTTGGAGTCAAGCCTACCTCTCCTGCTGTTGCTCGATGGACCACTTGTGGCAAAAGCGGCCGATACTACTTGTGCCTTTGCTTTTTTGAAAAGACTGCAGCAGCCATGTTGTTTCTGTTCGTTAAAGTGTGTAGACTCGGTGTAGACTCAGGGTGCAAAATTAGTGAAGGTTCATGATATGCACGGTCAGCTGTTCCGTTGGGGTGAACATTAAGTCCAACATGATTTTGTTTCTGTGGCCATTGTGCCAACCATCCAACAGCCAGTACTGTAGGTGTGCACTCGGCTACCACTCGGTGCTAGCCACGGGGCTTATGCATTTGCATGGCATCACACGCGAGAAGCCGACCGTGCTGAACGACGATGCTGATGATACAATGCTGGCAACGTCCGAGTTCATTGAGTCTGAAGGTTCCGTTGAGCTTTACCGCAAAACTTTGCGAATCAAGGCAAAGAAATCATTGGATTGGGTCCGGGACACCACATCGTGCTACAAGCTGTTGCTCAGTGCACTTGTCGTTTCGCCCCTGGAGAGGATCATGTACACCTTCATGCAGTGGCAGCACACCCAGGCCTTTCTATCCAAGGCATCACCTCCGGCGGTTGTTATGGCGAATCCAACCCGCTCTCCGGCATGTGCTGCCATGCGTCAGTTGTGTGGGCAAATGCGATCAGGCAAGTTGATTCCTGATGTGGCGGACTCCACTACGCTGGTGGACCTTGCACGTGGTCGTTAGGCTAAATCGAGTGCAACTGTCAGAGTTGTCGCGAAGTGCCAGTTGATTGATATGATTGATTCATTGATATGATTTGAATCGAGTAAAATCGTAGAACACCCGCTCAAAGCACTGCAACGTGTGAAGTGAAGCAAACATCAGTCACACACACACACACATCACCACCGCCAACAACAAAGACAACCCAGCCTCAACAAAGAACTAGATTCTAGATTCTAGATGTGACTCGACCGCTGCGGTTGTGGTTCACAACACAACAGAAACAATAAGGATTCAAACTAACTTTCATGAGGCCCATTAGGACTCCGACTCGACTTGATTAGCCACGTAAAGTAAATAGACCTTGGATTGACGTGACACAGAGAGACAGAGACAGACAAAGAGAGAGGAGGGATGAATAGATGCACCCGCACCCCAACCGCACATGTATGCATGTACGCATCAAACAGAAAGTCACAAGAACTTTCCACAGCAACGCAGCAGCGACAACTGCAACGGTGATCACGAAAACGACGACGACTACTACTCGTGACTACTACTGCTGCTGCTGCTGCTGCTGCTGCTACTACTACTACTACTACTGCTACTACTGGCTAATTGAGCGTGACAATGCGTACTGTATTTACTGTATTTGGAATACTGTATTGAGTATTGTATCATATGGTTGCTAGTTGCTACACCTACGTTATTTTCCCTGAAGTTTATGTTTACAGTTTGCTGTTTCGACGGTTTCCACTGTTGTTCGTTGATTGCATCGTCTTGCCAGCTGAAGAGGCCTGCCTGCAACAACACCGGATGACTTCATCCGGCGGGGATTTTGGTGTTTTGTGCGTGGGGTCGGCGAAGTATGGCACCGTTTATACTTGCCCTACATGCAACTGCCGTGGCTGCTGGCCAGACTTTTGGACAGCACAATCGATGCGTCGCTGCTCAACGAACTTGCATCATGGTTCATGAAGCTGCCTGACTGCTGTTTGAATGGTTGGTTCGGTCATGCCATCCGTGCACGCGTGTCTGATGAGACTGACTTGCTTCCTGGTGGAAAATGCCAGATGCTCTTGCGAGGGCTCTACAACTGCAAGACCTTCAACATCGAGGTTGAAAACAATTTCGCTCGAATGCAAAGTATGAAACGAGTTGGCAGGGGCAGGCTCGACCTCGCGCACAATCTTGCTTCGAAACATGTCTTGGCTGAAGCTAAGCTTGCTCACGTGAGGGAGCTGACACGTTGTGATGCTCCAGATCCAGGTCCGGTACACACGACGGGTTCCACCGCCAGCATTAATTAGTGTGATTGTCGTCGTTAGAATCATTAGATTCAGATGTCTGTAAACATGTAGCTGTAACTATAACTATCTGACTGCACACATGAAATTTGGAGTAATATAGACAGGTGAGGCCAGGTGTATGTTACTTAATTTAAGTTTTGAATTTTAAACATTCTTACTTAAAGTTCAGCTAAGCCAAACTTCGGCTAAACAAACTTTAACTTTAGCTAAACCTAAGCTTTTTTAGGGATTCACAGGGGTTTGTGGACTGGGAATTCAGGGTAAGGCCGGTTTGGGGCTGGAAGCTTAGTCATGTATAGTCTGTTTAATTTAATTTAAGAAATTCAGGGTCGTGTAGTTTGTGCAGTCACGCTTATTGCAGAGGTCCTCAACAGCCCAAGATCAAGACATACAATGGCTACACACTTTTCTGGAGTGAGGAGATGCAGAAGAGAGTGTGCCGTCCGGGCGAGACCTCTGAACAGTGTCGGAGACGGACCATGAACGAGTGCAAACATCGATGGTCGGCCAACCAAAATCTCAGGGAGACATATTCGTTTCAGGCTAAGATCAAGAACCAGCAAGCCAGAAAGACTGTCAATAATGAGTTGGTTGCTGCGCAAAATGGCCCGCATGAGGTTGGCGAGACTGACAATGACAATGACGGTCCAATGGACAGTGAGGTGGCACAGCTGCCTCAGGATCGGACTGGAGGTGAATTGGTGCCTCACAACAAGATCAACATGGAATATGTCCAGCCACTTGCCTTGGGTGAGGGTTACGGATGCTTTGGGATGGGCGACCGCCGTTTTGGCATCAACAAGAAGCTCGTCCAAGATGCGGACGACGCGGAAAAGGGTTTTGTGCAGAAGCAGAGCCGTGAGTGGAGGGCATACGCTGGTGGAGTTTGTGGGGAGAAGACTTGTTTCTCTGGATCCGTTTATCCTGGGTGCCTGGATATCTATGGGTTCTGCTGCAAGACCATTATGTCAAGGTCTCTTTACGAGATGGTTTTGGATCAGTTGCAAGCCATGGTTCGCAACCATCGACGTCGCCATGTCTCGGTCAGGGGCAAAAAGACTACAAACAGTGGGCCTGACTCCTCCATCGACCACCCATTCCTGGTGGCGTGGAACGCAGCTGAGTCATGGACTGAGTTGTTGTCATGCAGCACCGTCACCCGTCGTCTGTCATTGCATATTCAGTTTTAGGCTTCAGATCCCAGACTCTTATTCTGTAATATTCGCAGCGAGTCGGCCCAAGCGCAGCTCTGACTTGCGACCTGAGACTTGGGTTGAACAGCAGTGTTGTTGAGTTGAGTTGAGAAGTTGAGAGTTGAGATCAGACCACGTGGCATATTTTGTCATCGAGCGATGGTTTGCCACACTGATTCTTTCGTCGAGTCTCTACTAATTAGTTTCACCCTGTGCGATGAGCTTTGCTGATGGCGAAGCAAAAGAAAAACCGTTCCGGCTGCAAGGACTTCTCAAGTCCTCTAGTGTTGGCCAGCAGCGTGTTGACATGACCGAGCCCCCGGTTGGCAAAGCACAGCGGTCGTGTCGGACTATGATGACACCTTGTGCCAAGGCTCTCCCTTTGTTCTTGGAATATCAGAGACGACTACGTGAAGCCGAGGAATTCAAACGGCAATCAGATAGCTGGTTGTCACATGGGTATGGCAGGCCGGTTACCATAGACGATCCTGTTTTCGAGGACTACAGGAGGCAACTGCTATTCAGAGTCAACAGCCCATATGCCTGGCGAACTTTGAGCTTGGTTTCTTCCGAACCGAAACTTGCTCCGGTAGGAGCAAATGGTCCTCTCGCCCCAGCTGCACCGGAAATAGATTCGGGAGTCATACACCAGCTGATGGACCCAACTGCAGATGATCCTGCTCCAGTCAGTGATGGCCTTCATGCACCAGTCGGCGATTCCTCTCCCCTCGAACGAGGGGATGAAGACGAAGACAATGAAGACTTCGATTTGTATTCAGAGTTTGGGCTGGTTGGGCTTCTGCCTTCAGCAGCGCATGAAAGCGGCACAGGTAGCTCTTCGTCTTCTATGATGCCACGAGCCAGTGACCAGAGCAAGAGTAGCTCTGCTGTGCAGGACATCCGGGGCGAGAGTAGTAGCGATTCTCATTTGTTTCGGGACACTGTCAAGAAGAAGAAGAAAAAGAAAAAGAAGTCTAAGACTTCTAAGAAGACCAAGAGCCCTTCTAAGAAGGCCAAGAAGAGTCGCCGCTAAACGACATGTGTGCTTGTTTGAAGACCCTTGTACAGTTCAACAGTTCAACCGTTCAACCGAAACCGAGCGATGGGAAAATAATGGTGTGATTTTCTTGCTGAGCGTAGTTGCAATTGCCTTTTGCTTGTATCGGTATGTGACAGGACACACGCGCACACATACAACATACATTTACACTGATACATTGTCCGTTACACACTGTCACATGCCAAGCGGTTCGATTTTATTGGACACGGTTTGGTCAGTCTGCGTCGTGGTGGCGGTTCCGTTGGTGGTGGTACCGGTAGCAGCGGTGGTGCTGGCGGTGGTGGCGGTGCTGGTGGTGGCCGTTCTGGTAGTCGTTGGTTCATGCGTGTGCGTATGTGTGTATGTATAATAAAGATGAAATATTGTTTATGTACTCAGTGTACAGTGTAGAGTAAAGTTTACAGTTTACACACATATATATATATATGTATATTTTATGTATGTATGTAAAGTAATGTGTATGCAGCATCGGCAAATGTTTACTGCCCAACGAGTCCAAGGTCTTGCCGGGACGCTCCTCAAGGTTGGCTGATGAATTGGGCACAGTTCTCCCCTTACGATGCCAATTGGTGGCAATGGTCTGTGAAGGCTGAGCAAGGCGTGTGGAAGGCAGAACCCATGTTGGTGCATGGTGGCTTGGACAGCGGCTTGCCATCCATGATCACACAAGAGCAAATGGCGTTAAACATGAGCAACAAGTGTGCTTCTGGCCAATCATGGGTGTGGACAGTGTGTTCATACACAGCTACTTGACGGTGAACGTGCAGCGTTCAGGGTCTTTGTCGGGTCTGAGAGTCTAGAGCCTAGAGTCTAAATTTTATATCATATAGGTCCTTAATATAGGTGATACTTACCGCCTTTGGTTGCGAGGTCGTGGGGATCTGTTTTTGGTCGCAGGTTGTTGGCTTTGGTGAGATTTGTCTGGACATACCACATGAAGATGATGCTAGTTGGATGAAAGTTGGTAGCGACCAGCTTATCGATGGGGAGGAGGCAGAAGAGGAAGCAACAGACCAGACGGTGTCTAACCTTCTGGGTATGTTAAAACCGAAGAATACTTCACCGCCGAATTCTTCTGGGAGTGTGCGGACCGTCAAGCCAGGATCATCTTTGTCAATGTTTGCGCCGTTACAAGCATCGTTGTGCCTCATACCAACACATATCCTGAAAATGTCCGTTTAGTCCTGCTGCAGGAGCCAAGCGATCAGCCCCGTCGAGCAGCAACGCGCCGTCCAAGAAACAACGGTTGGATTCCGATGGTAATCAAGCAACCAGAGAAGAGGACCCGGGAGAAGCAGATCAAGGAGATATTATTGAATTGGAAGAAGCGTGGAATAGTGCTCACATTGCAGAGACTCACCTGGGTTAGGACTTTATAAACAAGTATAGTTGTAATCAAGTCTAGTTACGACAGATCGATAGAGACTAGGTACATATGATATATATATATATATATTTAATACATATATATATATAATATAGAGTGAGAGAGAGATATAGAGTGAGAGAGAGAGAGAGGGAGAGACAGAGTGAGCAAGAGAGAGGGCAGAGAGAGAGAGAGAGAGAGAGAGAGCGAGAGAGAGAGAGAGAGAGAGAGAGAGAGAGAGAGAGACAGAGCGAGAAAGAGAGAGACACAGATGTGCCTTAACTAGATAGTCGCTCATCAGAACACTAATTTAGATCAGCACCCATTCAGCAGTATATTGTCCTGGTATATGTTATTTTATTTTATTTTTTTATTCTCTTATGTGGCATTCCATCATGAGAGAGATAGAGATGACATAGAATGTGAGAGAGAGCGAGTGACAGATAGAGAGGACGATGCCGAGAATACAGGAAGTTCGAAAGATGATGCATGTTTGTGTGCACGAGTGTGCATGTGTGTGACTGGCTAACGTGACTAAGTAATTGACCGGTGATGAGGATTTGGTCTGAGACCGGGGTCATAGTGGGTGATACGGGCTGATGAAAGATTCTGTTGCAAGGAACATGGCCAATCTGTCATCGTGACTGGCTCCCAGGCGCAGCAGAATGCTCAGGCAAAATCACGGTCACAGTCAGCAGCTTCCTCATCGACCCAGCCGGCTGTGTCGGCTAAGCCACAGTATTCAGTTGAATTCCGTGTCGTTGATGATGCCACCGGCACCATGATTCGGCAGCACTCCGATGGAAATGTGTATGTCGATTCAAGAATGCAGCCAATAGGCCTGCGCTTGAAGGGGAAGTGATAAGAATTGATCCGGTAGGCTTCAGCCGATGCTGTACTAGAATAATCGTAAGCACAAGTAAACGAATCAAGAATTGTTTGTGTGACAGGGCGCATTTCCGACTTCAAGAAGGACACAAAAGGACATTCCGTGTCATTCGCTTGCAAGCTTCACAGCCAGTGTCGGAAATGTATGCTGTTGCGCAGTCTACCAGAAGACTTCCAGGCCGGATGTTTATCTTGAGATTGAGTTATGTTGTGGTAGATTCTAGGATTCTAGGCCCAGGCTTCACCTTGGACTCTAAATTAGGTTTCTTGGATTCTTATCTCTAGACTCTAGACTCCGACTCTAAACTCTATCTCTTAGTACCAGGCTGGAGCTTTGCGATGGCTGGCAGCTGGTGTTCAGTTTGCTGGAAGAGACAGGGGGAATGACCATCTGAATTTGTTTAATTCACTTGTGCTGCGCCGAAGCTTGTGAGACATTGACATGTGCATGGTGCTCAAAATAAAGTGTGGATCAGTGGAGCTCACACAGTCAGCTTGAGCAACATGCCATCTCAGTTTTTTGGGGTTGGGGGGGGAGGGAAAGGGCTGTGGGTGGGCTGCGGGATGGATCCTTTCCAAGTCACGTACCACCTGTAGCATGTATCCGGCCGGTACCATCTTCTCATACTGTCCATGCACCCGTACCCTGTACCCTGTACCCTGTACCCTGTACCCTGTACCCCGTACCCCGTACCCCGTACCCCGTACCCCGTACCCCGTACCCCGTACCCCGTACCTGTACCTGTACCCCCTTGCTGCCTTTTTTTAAGAATTGGTTGCCTTTTTTAAAGAATTGGTTGCCTTTTTTTAAAATTGGTTGCCTTTTTTTGGGTACGGTACGGTTGGGTACGGGGTACGGGGTACGGGGTACGGGTACGGGGTACGGGGTACGGGGTACGGGGTACGGGGTACGGGGTGCGGGGCGCGGGGCGCGGGGCGCGGGGCGCGGGCTGCGGGCAGTGCACGGGGTATGGGGTACGGCGGGTGTGGTACAGATAAGGGGGCACGATACGGGTGCATGCGTGTGAAGGGATATATGGGAGTTGAGTGGTGAGTTTTGAGTTGATCTGCCACTTGCGACATTCAACTGCAGCTGTGTACATTTGGTACCACAAGAAAGCACCGTGTGCCATTGGCAGTGCATTCATTTGCGTTGCAACGCTATGTCGGATGTGATGTCGCTTGCCGGGAAAAACGAACCCTACAGACAGACGGCCCGCCAGATGTACCGGAAGGGGTTTGTCTGTGCGAGAACTACAAGCCTCGCAGATGCAAGTTTTGCATGGTCTGGTCGACTGCCATATGTCCCTGGGATCTGAAGGGATCCATCTTGGAGGCGTGGATGCCTTTGATCCCCTGGGGGAGGGGTCACAAGGACAAGCCATCCGGGGAAGCATGCAAGATCTGTATCATTGCAACTAGGCTTTTATTCAATTCATTCTATTCTGTATACTGTATACTGTATATGGATTCTGGATTTTCTTGTGACTCTTTTGTGCATTCAGTGTGCATGCGCACGGGTGCGGTTGCGTGATTGAGGGTAGTGCATCCCAGGTGTGGGTGCAGGGCGGCTACGAAGCTGAGTATGTCTCCGAGGCCAAGTACCAGGCGGCAGTGCAGCACGACCCAACAATCAATCATGGTTTCCTGTCACTGCGGAGTCATGTGATCCGCATGAAGCAAGAGGACCCCAATTGCAAGTTCAGGCTGGAGCGTGTGGCCCCAGCCATCAAGGAAAAAGTGAGGGCATCCCAATCTCGACAACAAGGGCTTGAGAAACCTGAAACACATTTTGTCCTCCTTTCCGTCTACACCGAAGAATATGGCAAGCCAGATCCTTCGCAGATAGTGTACGAGGTGATTGATGGGGTGTCTGTTCCTGGCGTAGACGTCCTGACAGGCCGTGCGGGGTGGCACAAGCGAGTTAATCGTGACATGTGTGATGTCACCAAGACTGCAGAGCTCACAGACATCAACATAGACCCCACTGGTCAAGCCGCTGATCGAATGTTTCAAGCTTCGAAAAAACAGCTGACCAAAGCCTACGTTCAGCCGTCTCGGAAAGCTCTTTTACATCCCCCGTCAGCATCCTCTGCGTGTGCACAGGCGAGTAGCTGTTGTGTGAGTCGTGGTGTTGGTGGTAGTGGTGGTTGCAGCGGTAGTGGGGATGTTAGTTTTCTGTTAGTTTTCTGGTTACTACTTGCCACTATACTACTTTATGATGATTACTCTTGACTCTTACCTCTTAACTTTTAACTTTTACTTTTAACTGTTCGATCCATCTCGAACTCTTCTATTCTTGAGGAGGAGGTGGCCAAAGCGGACACCGGCGTGGACGAGGTGACGTCTGGCAAAGACGGTGCTGATATTGATGCCAGTGACTCTGATGATGATGCTGCCGTCCCCAGCATGATTGCAATGTTGAAGAGCCGGTACTCAGGCAACTCCGCGGCGGACTCAAAGGGCAAGAGTGTTAAACCCCAGGCGGCTCCCAAGCCGAAGGCAGCGACATCCAGGAACAAGACAGCCGAGGATAATGCCCCGGTCGGCATCTCAAATGCAAATCGCAAGCGTAGACGTGCAGATGTCCAGGCCAAGGATGAGGGTGCGGCTCAGCCGCACGAGACAGGTGATGAACCGCCCAAGAAGAAGGTCATGCAGGCTTGCGGTGATGTTGAGGATGATGATGATGGCACGGGAGCAATCGCCTCCAGCGATCAGGAGGTGATTGACCAATTCGAAAGTAAGATTGCGTCGCTCAAGGAAATCGACCCCCCCAACGATGATGCAAACTTCAAGGAATACATGGACAATCACTTGCAAAAGGTCAATGCTACCATTACCGAGTTGCGTACCAAGAAGAAAAGTGTTGGTCGACGCAAACATCAGCAGGGAGAGATGCTGTTGTCTGCGCTGGCTAGCGTGGAGACGAGTTTGAAAGCCATTGTGATGTTGAACAAGCGTTTCTTGTCTCTCCAGAGTGTTGTGTAGCGGTTTGTTTAGCTGTTTCTTGAATTTTTTTCTGGTGTTCTTAGCTTGGTTCTTGATCATTTATGTGTTTGAGCGAAAAAGGCATCACCGGCGCCACGCCTGTGGCATCGACCAGTTCTTTGTTGGATGTTCTCCGAGAGGCTGAACAGGATGGCTTTCAGTTTGGTTCAACAGTGACTCGACGTGCCCTCAAGGCTCTTGTGGCAGATGACATCAAAGTCGGCCGATGGACAGCGTTGGTGACTTCTACACGTGAGGTCATTTGTCAGGTCTTGCAGACGGCTGATGATGTTGACTCAGATGAGTTTTTCTACATGTCTTGCAGCCAAGCAATGGCCAAACTTGTCAAGGGCACGATGGGCAAAATCAAGAACAAGGACCTCATAACAAACCAACAACCCGACAACAACTCGACGCCGCCAACAAGTTGTAACAGCAGCAACCAACAACACTTGTGTAGTGTAGTGTAGTGTAGTGTAGTGTAAGGGTATCGTCATGAGTGATCATATATGAATATGTGTTTCCATTAATTACTTCTGTTGTCTTACGACTTCACGGTTAGTTGAGTTGAGAGGAGAGCATGTTTTCGGCGGCCAACCGCAAAGAGCTCACTCCCATCATTGACTTGCTGGACCATTTGGCTAATGGAGCCTTGCCAGAATCGTTGAAAGATGATGCCCAGATCCTCAAAAGCTTGTTGCAAGCCGACTCGGCACCGATTGCAGATGTGAAGGAATCTGTTCGTGTGGTATCCGAGCTGGTCAAAAGCAATCAGTTCCTTGAACAGTAACTTAACAACTTGCAATATTGTTTATGTCGACCAGAGAATTGTGCACTGACAAAATTGTAAAAACTATTCAGTGTTCAGGTTTGAATCCAAAGCGCTCCACATCACGGCGACTATCCAAATCTCAAACATGGGTGCACGGCTTCTTGCTGATGCCGCATCAATTGTGGAGAACCGGGAGAAGGAACTTGGTGAGCAGGAAACATTGGCCAATTCGATGGGCCTCTTGCCCACGGACTATGAGTCTGTCACAGCTGAATGTTTCGCGGAGATGTGTTTTGACTCAGACTGGAAACAGTGTGTGTTTGTGTGTGTGGTGTCTCGTTTGATAGCTGGTTGATGGAAGATTGTGCGTGTTTTTGTGTTGTGTTCTTGTTCTGATATTGGTACTTGAACATTAGTTGGTTTTTCTCTTGGCTGGTGTATTTGGCCGGCTGCTGACTTTGACCGATCCACATGGACACCTACATAACTTAACATGATCCGAGGTGCGATGCTGCGGTTGCATCCCGGAGTATCATCCAAGCGATCATCAAGAGCAAAACCCGTGCAAAATCATTGGGCAAAGAGGCCTTAGGTCAGATGAAGGCAGAACTTCGTGAAAGTTCACTCCGGCTGTTGGTCTACGCTTGCCTCGAGCAGGTGGCTATGGGGTGAGTTCAATAATCTGGGTGAAACCTATTACTGTACCGTAGTTACTATACTATGCTATACTATACTATACTATACTATACTATACTATATTATACTATACTATACTATACTATACTATACTACAAAACAACAAATACTGTACTAGTCCTAGTAGTACAGTACTATTACATACCATGCCATACCATACTCTACTGATTCTACTGAACTACATTACACTGGACATAATATGCATAGGACAGTATCCTGAGTCCTGAGTCTTAATCTTGAGGAACATGCAATTGTCCAGTGTCATTCAATTGTTTAAAGTTTAAAGTGTCACGTGAAGTGCCAAACTGAAACGCAGATATATAGGACCCTATGGTCGTAGCATCGACTAACCCAAACGAGGTGCTACCGTGGCTGCAAACATGTGTTTCCTCAACGGCGGCATCGGCTGTTTTCGATCGGCCACCTGTGGACCAGTGGCCTGCGTATGCCAGCTGGAGTCAGCTGGAAGAAGGTGCACTGCTGAATGCGTTCATGACCCACGCTGTGGACCTTTCCAAGGAGTGTGTGTCATTGAAGACGGGTGGTGGCAATACATCTGCAGACCAATGCCTTTCTCGAGTTGGTGAACTTTCTGAAGCTGTTGTTCGGATTAAGGACCGGTCGAATGTGGGCTAAGCTAAGCAGTATGAGTCGCGAGGGTGAGCTTGTCTATGCTGAAGTTACGTGACTCTGAGTCTTTGTCCTTTTCAATGCGAGGAGACATTTGGCACGGTTGAGGAGCAGAAGGAACGATGGGCATCCTTTTGCGATGTGATGAGCGGATTCGTGGACAACATCGAGACGTTGCGGAGGAACCTGCGAAATGCTGGTTTGGAATCATGCAAAGCAAATGTGCTTAACAAGCTGAAGGCATTCTTGCAGGACAACAGCACTGCCACCTCAATCAGCCATGAATCGGAGCAGCTGCAACTACATGCTGCAGCCCTCCCTAAAGACCACCCAGAACGTGATCATTTGTTGGCAGCTGCTGAGACAACATCAGCCTTTATGGAAGCAGGTAAATCGGGCATGTTGCAGCATGTTGCATCGTTCCGTGTGGTTTGAATTCATGCATACGCATTCTATTCTTTGCCTTGGCAGGCAAAGCAATGCACACACACGGTGCCGACACCGAGAAGTCGTCCGACGCACTGGTTGCATACATGAAGTTTCAGGAACCCCTGAAGGCAATGATCGATGGGACACTCGATCGTGTCAGATACCTGTTGCCCCTGAATGATGCCACGGGGGATGAACTGGTGAATCAGGTTCGAGAAGCAGGAAGGTTAATTGCTTCAGGGGTAGATGCAGCGGTGGAATCGTGGCGCGTCGAGAAGGAGCCACACACATTGCGTCTTGAGTCTTGAGTCACTTGAGTCAGTCGGTGGTGTCATGTGGGTCATGATGTATGTCATTAGTCTAGTCTAGAGTCTAGCGTCTAGAGTCTAGAGTTAGAGTGTAGAGTAGAGTCTAGTCACAGTCTAGTCTAGAGTCTAGAGTCTAGAGTCCAGTTAGAGTCTGAGCCTAGAGTCTAGTTACTAGTCGAGCCTCGATTCTCTATTTCAAACAAATAGGATTTTGAATCTTGAATCTAATCTAAACTTTGGCATAATATTAGGCATAATATAATAATATAACATAATATCAGGCTATCAGGTATTAGTTTACTGAGATGAGTTACTAGGATACTAGTTACTAGCAGATACTAGTCACTAGTCACTAGTTACTAGTTACCAGTTAGTAGATAGCTATCGCTCCCGAAGTTCTACTTTCGAAATCAGGAGGAAAAGTTCGCGGCTTTGATGACCACCTTCAAAGCTATGAGCCTGCCTGACCCCTCCACCGTTGACTTCCCGGAACAGAACATTACCGACCCCACTCCGCCATTGTCGGAGTTTCCGGAGCTGAATGCTGTGAATCAAGATGATCTATCAGCCCTCGCATGTCAGTTTCAGGGGCCACTTGATGAAGCGGAGGACCCGCATTTGAGAATTGAGAACTCAGTGTATTTGTTGCATTAACCTTAAACCCGAGCCCTAAGCCCCGACTAGACTAGACTAGACTAGACTAGACTCGAAATTGAACACGCAGGCTCTCTTCCAGGCCGGCGTGAAGGTGGACTCGCTTGTCAAAGGTTTCTCACCAGCTGCTCTGGTTGAGTTTACTTACGGGTTGATTGTCTACTGTATATTGTTATTATTATCACATTGTCATCTTGTGACTTTTAGTCAACTCTCGTGATTTCTGAGGCCCGTGCGGCCTACCATGATATGATGAGCTTGATGGCTGTGGTCGGATTGATAAAAGTGTTGTCGGGCAAGCGGTTGGAGCGGGCTGTGGCATGCGGTGAAGCCGTTCCCATCAAAACCCGCGCCAATCTTGAGTCTATCCTGTCGAGCAGCAAAGAACAAACCCTGACAGTCCCAGGTAGCCTTCAAACCAAGGCATTGCATTTTTGCAGCTCCGACCACAGAGCTGCGCAGTGAGCGTTCATAGGTCATCGCACTCTATGTTCCCGGAATAAGAACTTCTTATCATGGTCTCATAAATGGTGACCCCAATCACAGTTTAGGTTTAGTTTAGTTAGTTTAGTTTAGATTACGACACCTTGTTTTTAACTTTAAACTTAAACTGTTTTCCGCACTTGCCATTGCTCTGTGATCCGTGTAGCGAGACATGTCGCCCAAGCGACAGAATCAAGATCTGCGATGCCGTGCACACCAGCCGTGAAAAGCAGTTGTCCTTACTTACAGGCACACACCAATGTCACCAATTGTTAACTTGACCTGCGTCACGCCTGGGTTGGCTTTTGCTTGTACAGCCCAGATGAGTTTGCCTTGAGACCGAGAGTTCGAGGCAGCCGGCTGACGTGCTACCGTACAGAGTGCAGAGATTTGATTAGAGTAGAGTCGTAGTATACATCGAGTTTGTTTAGCGGGACTGCTCGTCATGTGGAAGCTGTGACAGCAAGTCCAAAATTAGCAAACATTTCAATTTGCAATCATAGCTGATTCCAAGATCCGAAATCAGGCACCAAGCTCAATGAGCAGTGAGGGGAGAATGAAACCTGTTGCAGAGGCAGAGATTGAGACTGCTGCACGCTACGAGTCAGTCGTAGGGCTAGGACCTGCGTTTGTGTTTGTGTAGTGCCCGGCAGAACCTGTGCATGATCTTGGCTTGTTTTGACGAGGTGAGGCCATGATTCATGATTTCGATTCGATTCGAGACTGGATTCTAGATTCTAGATTCTAGGTAGTCTAGATTCTAGATTCTGGATTCTTGGTCTAGAGGCTAGAGTCTGAGTCTAAAGCAAAGCTTCTAGAGTTTAGGAGTCTAGAACCTATCTAAATGGTATCATGTGAGTTTTTTTTGAAATCAGTGTGTGCCAGGTTGTGTGCGAGCCATGCCCCCCAAGAAATCATCAGGTGGCAATCCCAAGGCCAAAAGCAAGGCCAAGGCACTACCAAAGCCCAAACCCGATAGTCGACCGAAATCGAAGCCTAGAATCTCTAAAGATTCAGAGCTTCCAAAAATCAGTGAAGCCAACCAGAAGCAGTACGAAGAGAAGTGGGCAGAGTGGAGGAGCAATTGGAAGGCACAGGCGGGGCTAAGTTGTACATTCTGTGATTCTGTAGTACTCTGCAGGTTGTGTTGTGATTTTTTACTCCCAACCACTACCCACCTACTACCCCACATATATCATTATCATATATTAATATTTACATATACTACTTTAAACTACTACTATACTTTCGACTCGACTCTCGACTATCTACCTTCTACTTTCTACTGAGACTACTAGATTACTAGACTACAGCACTAGTTTAATGACTCGATCTACCTTTGTACATGCGACCAAACACCAAACCGTTGTGTGCAGGCCGCCAAAGACCCGGCGAGCTCAGCGTCGACTATGCCGCTGATGAATACCAGCGATGCACCGGAGAATGCCGATGCTGAGACTGTGCCCAGTGAGTCTTTGACTTTGCCTTTGACTGTGCCGATGCAGTGCGACGGCAATGATCAGCCGCCAGCGGATGCTGCTGAGTTCAATGATGAGCCGCCTGTAGACATAGATGCAGACGGCAGGTGCGATGACGACCAGAATCGACAGTGCGGCGGCAATGATCAACTGCCAACGGATGCTGCTGAGTTCAAGGATGAGCCGCCTGTAGATATAGATGCAGACGGCAAGTGCGATGACGACCAGAATCGACAGTGCGGCGGCAATGATCAACTGCCAACGGATGCTGCTGAGTTCAAGGATGAACAGACCGACGACAAAGCCTCTCAGTCCAAAGCTGGCGCAAAAGCGGACGATATGGGCGACGACTCGTTGGCTGGAGAGTTGTCAGAGTTGATTGAAGCTGAGTACGGCACTGTGCAAGACAGTGATCCGGACCGAGAGCTTCATGAATCGGAATCGGTCCCCAAGACTCGCGATAGTGGGACCAGTAGTGATGTCGACAAGGACCAGGACGATGACAACTCGATGACTTTTAGCGACAACAATGACGTCAACGAGCCCGACCAGGAGCACGTGAGCTACAGCTCCCACAGCTTCCCACCGCCACCGACGAGCAAACACCCGGACCTCAATTGTCTCCTGGAGTCTTCCGCAAAGGCTTATGACTTCAAAAGCTGTCCTGTAAGCCTTAATTTTGAATACTTCTCATATAACGATTCTTAATTCTCAATACCACTAAATAACTTGCTCGCCACCACCACCACTGCTACTACTACTACTCCTCATCCTCCTCTCAGTGACTAACTATCATTTACTCATTTCACTTTGTTCTTAGTAACTTAGTAGTATAGTATTATGATTATGATATTATCATTGTTTGTGTTGTTACAGTGTTGTTGCTTGTCGTTATGTTGGATGAAATGTTTTTTTGGTTCAGATCATGGTGGAGCATCTTGCTGCGGAAGTTCCGCGAATTGCAGACCGCATACGATCGTGGCCATCGTCATTATCAATTGGTGACATGTTCACCGGTGCAGGGACATTTGCGAAGGTAACAGATGTCGCGATCAACCAGATCCAACGCGTGTTTGGCAGTGCGGCTTCCCATCTGGACGTTTCTTGTTCCGATTCAAGCTTAGGCTTAAACGGCATATCATAATACCAGCTGTGATCAGTTGAGGTCCATCATGCCTTCATGTGTGAGAAGGAGGCTTGGAAACAAAAATTCCTTCTTGCGGCATTTCCAAGTGCCCCGCTTGGCTCCTTTGGTCGATGCTGTTTGTTCAAAGATGCGTGCACATATCTCGACAAGAAGGAGTGCCTGAGACACCCTGTTCCAGAAGGGGACCAAGGGTCCTCTTGTGATCCTTGCCACGTGTTGGGAGTTCTGTATTTTACAAACTTACAAACTGTATCTGTTTTAAGATTGAGGTTTAACTTTAAATCTCGTGTACAAGTTTTTCATCGAGGACATTCCGAGCAAGTTGTGGTGTTTGTGCGGCGGATTCTCATGCAAATCCTTGTCGAAGATGCACAAGGACCATGCGAGCTTCGCAAAGGCGGTTTACAATCAGGACGAGGCAATGTTGGGCAAATGAAAAACTTTTCATTCCGGAACCCATAAAGTCACAAAGGTTGCAAGCTACAAATTTACACAGACGTCGACTAACCTTTGCCCAGGAATCATCGACGTATCAGACTTTCCGTGCGGTCTTGGAAACGTTGTACGCGATCGAAACAGAGTTCTTCATACTCGAAAATGTGGACATGACGACCCCCGATGACTTCACCGCGGCTGGCGACGGCAACTTCGAAAATGTGATGCAAAGCTTGCGCCAACAAGGCTTCGCAGTCAAGGCTTATCGGATGCAGAGCTCCGACTACGGCGTTCCACAAAGGAGAATCAGATTGTTTTTCGTAGGATTCAACAAGAAGTTGCATCCGAATCCGAAATTCGACAACATTGCGAAACGGCTACATGGTCTGAAGCTGAAGTGTCAGCCACCGGCTCCTCGGATTAACCCGTGTAGCCGCAGTGTAGCCGTGGAGCTATGGGACATATACCTATTACCTATAATATTTCACTAGAATCTAGTGGGCGACTTGATTCAGATTTGATTAGACGAGATAAGATTAGACTAGTGAGTGACTAGACATGAATGAGGCAGACTTTTTGTTGCCCGCCGAGAGCTCGGTGGTGACGGGGGAGATCAGTCGCCGGGAGTTTGCGTTGGCAAAGGCAGAGGTCCGCGCGGAGAACCGCAAGGCCAAGAAGGAGACAAAGGACAAGGAGAAAGACAAGGACCAGGACGATGACGGCATCGAGAAGGAGTTCAGCAAATGGAAAGGCGTGCACATGGAATTGGCTGAAAAACGCTCCCTGGTTTGAGATTTTTTTGTTCGTGAGCGTTGCTTCCTAGCACTGATTCCCTACGAGAATTTTCCGATGAAGCAGCGTGGCAGGTGGCATCAGGTGGCCGCTTGCTGTTCCAGAGTTTTTCCAAGGCTCTCGATGGTTTCAGAGTTTGAGCCACAGGGAGAAAGAGGACACCTGGCTATATCAACAAGTATTGTGTCACGATCAGATCAGATCTTGGCTGTTTCTGCTATGCAATAATATTGAATATTGAACATTGAAAATTGAAAATGTTTCTTTATAATTTATATGTTTAGTTTACGTTTACAGTTTACAAAAAGTTTACACTTACACCAATGCGAAGGTGGATCAGGTTGATTGGACTCACTACTCCACTCTACTACTCTACTCGGATACACTGAAAGAATGAATAAACTGCTTTGAATTGAATCGTGAGTCTTGAGTCTTGAGTCAAGTCTTAGCTTAGGCTTAAGCCTGAGTCTTAAAGTCGTGAGTCAGCCTTAAGAACTTAAGAGTCTTAATTCATGGTTTTCTCAAGTTTTCTCAATTCCTAAGCCTAGACTAAGCATAAGCAACAATAGTATGCATAATAAAGTAAGTATGTGGCGTGAGAAGCGAGCGCCATCAGCCGAGAACGTTTTGTTCCTGCACAACGAGAACGAGAATCTTGGCAAAGCGGGCAAGAACCTCATCAGGTTCGGAGATATCTATCAATCTTCAACCCGCACGCCAACGAGCGGAGCTGAAGAATCCTGTTCTGAACTTCTTGCTTACTGACATTGTGGGGTGAATGTTTGAGCGAGACAGTTTGATGAGATGCTGAGATTTTTTGACTGCACTGAGGAAATGACAACTCTTCTACCCGGCAGCAAGATTTTTGATCTTGTGTCGAATCGCCTGATTGTGGGATCCTTGCAATAATTAGCTTAAGTTCTAAGACTCTAAGATTCTAAGCTCCAAATCCAAGTTGTAGATTGTAGACCCGCCCAAACCTCAGCACGTTGTTCCTGAAGTTTTCTTGACGTAGTGGTGCCGCATTTATGTTGCATTCAGGAAGAGAAATGCTCCATATGCAGGGCATCCAATTCGACGAGGATCTCTTGAATTTGTTTGACGAGCACAAGCTCGGTGATCTAGCGGGCAGCGCGCAGCTTGCCGAAGGTAGAGGCAGAGCGATACAGAAAGAGAGATAGAGAGAGATTTATGTTTTATGTCACTATAAACTATAAACTATAAACTATAAACTATAAACTATAAACTATAAACTATAAAACAAACTATATACTACTATATTCATGTAATCTACTACAAACTACAAATAGCATGGGTCCACGAACATATGACGCTCAGGTTCACTGCACCGTTGATGCTTGCGATTTTCTTATCATCAGCCCTGGAACTATCATATCCGACCGACTCGGAAATCGAAGAGGACATGAATGTGAATGTGCTGATCTCGGCGTTGAAAAGACAGCGCCGAGTGTGATTGACAGGCATGTACAGTTGCCTAGGGCCTAGGCCCAGGCCTAATCGGCCATTTCGAGAGCTGGGAACTGTGTTCGCTGCTTGGGGAAAACATGTTACAGTCGAGCCGTGTGCATACGGTAACTGGTGAGAATCTGCCCGGCTGCAACCCAATCTGAAAGCCCACAGATTGCCCTGACCAGCAAGTCTTCGAGTCCTGCTTATTATCAAGATTCAAGGAATCAAGTTAATGATTGATTGTGTTATATCTGTTATATTATGCTATTGCAACGTACCCCCGTGTACTCTGACCGTACCCCGTCCCCGTCGTACCGTACCCCTGCCCGCATCACATAATACCCCCGCTCCCGTCTTACCGTACCACCGCCCCCGTCGTACTGTACCCGCGTCGCCCCCGTCGTACCGCACCCCCGCCCCCATCGTACCGTACCCCCGCCCCCGTCGTACCGTACCCTTGCCCCTGCTGCGTTTTTGAGTCACCGTACCCCTAGCCAGCCTGCTCTCCAGAGCATGGCTTTTGAATTTTGATAAGTCTTTACTTTAATAATATTGTCCCATTCTTCGGGCATCTTCTTCGTTTAAAATCATCAGCAACATAACCGACGCACCACTTTTGAGACTGTCCTATGCAATTGTATGTTTCAGGCTTAATATACTTGACTACTTTAACACATTTTGTTGGTTTGTATTTCTTTGGCATTTTCTTTCAGTGTCTTATCTGATGTTTCGGTCATTGCTCCGTTCATATGAAATCCCGTGCTTGAAAACTCACCGATATTAGCACCGTTAATGCAATAAAACTGATGCTGTCGCTGTTTGGAGTATTGAGTTTCACGTGACTACTTCCTGAAACATCACTACTTGAATTGACTGATGCTTCGCTGGTACATATTTCGGGTGTGCTTCCTATTGTTCCTACAATCTAATCAGTTGACCTATCTGTATCACCGTTTCTATTATCTAAACCATAATCACTGCCGTGTAAAGTTTCCTTCATTCCTGATGAATGCTGAAAGTTTAAATCGCCCCATACATTTTAACGTTGCCTCTGCCGTCATATTACCAATACTATTAAAAATCTGATTATTAACAACTGCTCTCGAAATTGTAATGCCGTTTGTGTCGTCTAACTGTAAAGCGATAGTCCCTGTTGTAGGTCGTGTGTTCTATCTATCACTTTGAAGAAGACTGAAATTAAGTTGTGCTGTTGTAACAACAATTAATGACTGAAAAGCATTTGCTAGTTGTAATAGTCGGGCAGTTACTCTCGCTTGATTAAAATTACTGACACCGCCTACTGTAAACAGTATGATGACTTATACTGCCATCCCATTCCTACTTCTGCGTCGGTTGTGCTTACTCTTCTTAGTCTGTGCTCGCCGCCGGTATCATGTAAAATCATGTCAGTTCCTGTTGATGGATTACTCGGGTTCATGCATCTAAAGCTTCTGTCTCTGAACCCCCAAACTGCTTTTGCATGTCCAACTCTGAAGGTAAAGCTAACATCTCATAGCATCTCCTGAAGGCTTGACTACGTCGGTTCCTGTTCCTTTCACTTACATACCGCCTATTACATCTGATCTGTTGGCACTTGTGACAATGTCAAAATTAGATGTTCCTGCAACAGTTAAAACATCACTGGCGTTAGGGTTTGCTCCTATTCCAACGCATGCGGCTTTGGGTCGTAAACGAGCTTCTCGTTCATCCCACGGAGGGGGCAGGTTTTCGTCCGAAGACGAAGTTCACGGACTTCCGCACATTGGTCCGCCGGAGCTCGCACCGTCGAACCTTGAAAACCTTCAGACAACAGCTCATGTTGTTTCGTGTACAATTTCTACCAACAATCTCTTGGGCCCTATGAGCGCCCTGAACTTCTAAACCCTGGATCCCTGGATTCTCTTGCAGGTGAGCAGGGCGTTCTGCTAACTCCACGCGAGAGCCTCGCTCGAAGCCGCACGAGCCAAAGCGGCTCGTGAAAAAGATCGTGCGCCTGCTTTCTGAAGTTCAGCCAAGCCCGCAGTTCAGGGTTGATCTGCGTGCTCGGAAGTCAGGGTTGTTAGGTATGCCACTTGCCGGGTCCTACAATGTCCTACAATCTGTAAGAGTGGAACGGTGTGGATGTGTACAATTGGACATGCATAGCCGTGGACTCGAATCGGTTCGAAGGTTCGGGCGTTGGTTGCCCAACTTTGCTTGCGTCAGGTGTTGCTCCACTTGTTTATCAAACCCCTCGCCCAAGCACACATACTGACCTGGATTGCCTGTGCAACAGGTCCTTGTCAAGGCGATTCTTTTCGTATTGAATTCCGACCTATTCGTGGATCTCCGACAGACAGCCTGTGCTACCATTGTTTGTGCAACATGTCCTGCTGGCGGCAAGGTGTTTTGGCCATCGTATTGGGGTGTCATCGTTGCATTGGAATTTCGGCAGCAAGTTGGCAAGTACTTTCTGTTCTGACCGGCAAACCCAGCAATGGTGAAAGACAGCTCTGTGAGCCACTTGGAAGATGAACTCAGCGGCAAATGCCGACAAGGACGACCACCACCGCTGCAGCTGCCACCCACGCCGCCGCCGCCATCACCAACGACAACAACAGCAACAACGACAACAGAAACTGCAGCACAACAACAAAGACCACTACTTCACGCTGTTGCTGCTGCTGCTGCGTGAATATGAAAAAATGAAGCCAGTACCACCACCAAAACCGCCACCACCACGAGTCCGAATACGACTGCTGCTACTAGCACAACCAGTACTGCACTACCCTTATTGCCAATTGCTGTAGTAGTAGTGGTAGTAGTAGTCGTAGTCGTAGTCGTAGTCGTAGTGGTAGTGGTAGTGGTAGTGGTAGTAAGTAGTGAGTAGTGAGTAGTGAGTAGTGAGTAGTGAGTAGTAAGTAGTA